AGGGCGCGCGCCTCCGACCGGTGGCAACTTTGTTTCTCCGCAGTTACGGACCCCGCGCGGCGGCGCCTCGCGCTTGGCGGGGGCTGGACACGCCCCAGGGCGGGGGTCTCCCCGGGGCCCGCTGTGCGACTCGGATCCCACACGCCCGGCCTCGCCGTTCGGGCGCGGGCGGCCGGGAGCGCGAGGGGCTTTTCCCTCCTACGGGGAAAAAATAGTAACGGGGCCGGAAACGAAGGGCTGGCGGCCAAGCGGATCTGTTTACTGTGCGGCCTGAGCGCCGAGCCGAGCTGCAGCTTCGTGTCCACTTCTGCTTTCGGACTGTGGTCCGGCCTGGTCCGGTGGCCTCCGGGGAAGACGCAGAGGGATCGGGGTGAAGCAACGCCGCCGGCATCTGCTGTTGTGAAAACACTTTCGAATTCCTCTCTGTTTGCAGCCTTCGGCCCTGGGCCGCACTGCAGCTGGGAGCAGAAGTAACTATTTTTAAGTGGGGCCACGGTCCAGACCTTTCTCCCGGAGGGGAAACGTTCACGTGAGACCCGGCCTAGGCCCTCAGTTTTGTGATGAGCTGGGTTTCCGGCTTTTTAAACACACTGAGAGTCCTTACCCGTGAGTAAGGGACCGGCCTGTACCAGGGGTTTGTGGGCCAGGAGGTGACCATGTGCCTTTTATTTACTTTTTTTTTTTTAAAAAAAAAAAAGCATCAAGGTGACCGTGGTTGATTACATTAGATGGCATTGCAAGGGTCACGACATAATTCGATCTCTGGCCACTCTGTTGAGTGCTCACCACTCAAACAGGGCTCCCCAGCCACCCACCGCAGATTTAACCCCCTTCACCCAGTTTTCCCTCCCTCCACCCCCTTGCGCCTCGGGTCCCCAGCATAGCAGCTGTCTGTAACCATCAGCCGATTGCGTGCCTTAAAACTTGGTCGCATTGGTAAGCGGCTGGGGGCCATGGAACGCCAAACCCAAACTGTGCAGCACTGTATTAAAAAAAAAAGTTGTCACGAGACAAATCATGGGTCTGCAAGGCACTTTCTGGGACTGTAAAGGGGATGATCAGTCGCTTGCCCCGTGCCGGCCAGGGCCCGTGTGTCGGGCTAGACGTAATTACAGACACCGCATGAGGGACACCGTTAACGTCTGTCTGCTGCTGGCGGCCGTCACAAGTGGCATTGTCCTGTGCCTTTTACCCACTTTCGAGGTGCTCCTCCTCCACTTAGCGTGCGGGGGGAGGAGCCTCGGGTCGCTGTCCCCACAGGCAGCTGACCTGACCGCGAGCCCATGTCACGTTGCACGTGGCTCGAGTGTTTTCTCAGAAGCGGGGAAGTGAGTAGGCTGCAGGCGCTTTATGGTCCAAATGTGTGTGGCAGGCGTGACGTGCGATGCCACTCAGGTTCCACGGAGAGGAGGGAGGACGCGCCCACGTGCTCGGCTACTGGACGTCAGCTTTTCTTAAAACGCGTCACGTCACAGGAAGGTCACCACGAGCGTGCTCGTGTTGGCTGGCCGGCCTGTACAGAAGCGGTGTATGAGCCAACTAAGGATTCCTAATTTCTCAAACCTTTTTGTTCTTAAGACTACGTCCAGGTGGCCCACTCGGCGACGTTGTGTTTTTGTCACTTTTTAAAATCTATGATTTAATTGTTGCGTCGAGTACCCTCACCTGACGTCAAAATTCAAGCCTTGGCCTATGAAAATCTATTGGAAATTTTCAATGTGTCCAGAACGCCTAGAGCTTAAATTTCTCTGATGCGAGAGTCAGTTTTTTTCTTTTTTTCAAATCCTCAAAACAATGATTTTATTAAATCAGTTGCTTCACGATGCACGACTGAGTTTTGAAAAGGAGAAAAAATTGACGTGTTTTAGAGTCTAGTCCATATATTGTCCAGAATTGTCTTTAATGTTTCTTTTGTAAAGAGGAAAACAGACTATAAGGACTGTACTGGGAAGCGAAAACTGACCCCCAAATGTGTCAGGCACCCAGTTGCAAAGCTATTTTAGGAAGGACCCTAGTTTTTAAGGTATAGGGTTTTGAAAAACCTGTGACGAGACAGCTAATTGTTGTCAGCTTTGTGCACCTATGAGCAGGTGTGACCCGTGGACCGCAGTCCAGATGGGAAAGCAAAATAGTTTTCAGATTTTATAATGTCAGGGCCCTTTTGTCCTCAAAACAAGGACCAATATTCCTAATTAGAGATTGACACAGACACTTAAAACTTTTTGGAATACTTAAGAATGTATCTAAAATAACAATAAAAAGCCTGGTACATGTAATTGCAAGTGACAGAATTTCTTCAGATGCAGAATAACAATATTCTCCGACGTGGAAGAACATTTTAAAAGCCTTGGGGACAACGGTGGCCCTGTGTTCGGGTCTGGCCTCTCCTGCATTCTGCAGGTACTTCCCCACCCCGCTCTTCACCCCGTGTCTGGTGACTCGCTCTTTGGGTCCAAATGAATAGAGAAGGCCTGGGTGCTGTCACAGCTGTGAGAACAGACGGGACCTTCCCATCCCCGCAGGGATGCCGGGACCACCCCGTAAGGAGCAGCCCCTGAGAGACCGCCTGGAAAGACCTTTTCCGCGCCCCCGGTGGTGGAAATGAGGGCGTGCGGGCCTCGTACGGGTGTTCTGGGGTGGCCGTAACAAATGACGACAGGGCAGACATTCATCCCGCCGCAGTCCTGGGGACCAGCAGTGTGACATCCACGTGTCCCAGTACCATGTTCTTGGGGACAGACCTTCCTGCGTCTCTCAGCGTCTGGGGCCTCCAGGCGTCCCTGGACTGGTGGCCACGTAGCTCCCACCGCTGCCTCCGTTTTAACGTGGCTTCTCTTCTGTGCTTGTCTCTCTTCCTTTCTGTCCCTTCTAAAGACATTGTCATTGGGTTTAGGGCCAGCTGCTCCGGGGTGAGTCATCTCATAGCTTCCACTTAGTCACATCTGCAAAGACCCTGTTTCCAGCCAAGGCCACACTCCCAGGTTCTGGGAGGACATGCATTTTTTGCGGGGGTGGGGGTAGGGATGGTAGTCACTATAATTGTTAGCTAATTTGGCTGCGAACATAATCCGCACACTCATAAAAGGCCTGGTTGGTGCAGTTTGTTATTTAACCCCTGAGAGCTGGTCAGTGGGTCGCAAGCCTGCACGTGTCACAGACACTTTTTAAGAAAACCCAACTGCCCTCCTGGGCGTGCCGCCCTGAGTCGTGACTGAAAGTGAGCGGACTTGTGAGCATCAGCAGCAGAGGGAGCTCGGGGCTGGCTCCTGGCTCATGACACCCCCCCACACCCCCCCACACCCCGCCCGCAGCCACGCACAGCAGATGTGTATTTGCACACTTGGGGGGTGCGTCCCCCGCACGTCCGCGTGGGCATCTCGACACAGTGCAGGACCGAAAATTCCGTCACCGCTGCGATGCGCGTGTCGTCACAGAGGCGCCGGCGTTCAAAGTAGAGCGCGTTCAGAACGGCATTGTTTTCACAGGTGAAATGCGAAAAGACGTTTCAGTGCTGCGTGAGCCAATCCGGAGACGGCCGGGGCCGAACACAGATCTTGTGTTCGCTGCTTTGGTGCAGATTGAGCCATCCGGTGGCGGGTGACACACACGAGGTGGCAGGCAGAGGTGCGGCGCGGGCCGGCAGGACGCTCGTGCACGCACTGCCCCCGACCACGGGACGCCCG